TAACTAAGATCAGAGCAGAACTGAAGGAGATAGAGACACAAAAATCCCTTCAAAAAATAAACAATTCCAGGAGCTGGTTTTTGAAAAGATCAACAAAATAGATAGACTGCTAGCCAGACTAATAAAAAAGAAGAGAGAAGAATCAAATAGATGCAATAAAAACCGATAAAGGGGACATCATCACTGATTCCACAGGAATAAAAACTACCATCAGAGATTACTACATACAACTCTATGCACACAAACTCTAAATCTGGAAGAAAAGGATAAACTCCTGGACACTTGCACTCTTCCAAGACTAAACCAGGAAGAAGTTGAATCCCTGAATAGACAGATAACAAGGGCTGAAGTTGAGGCAGCAATTAATAGCTTGCCAACTAAAAAAAAGCCCAGGTCCAGAAGGGTTTACCGCCAAATTCTACCAGACGTACATAGAGGAGCTGGTAACATTCCTTCTGAAACTATTCCAAACAATATAAAAAGAGGGACTCCTCCCCAACTCATTTTATGAGACCAACATCATTTTAATACCAAAACTGGGCAGAGACGCAACTAAAATAGAAAACTTCAGGCTGATATCCATGATGAACATTGATGCAAAAATCTTCAATAAAATACTGGCAAACAAAATGCAACAGCAAATCAAAAAGCTTATTCATAATGATCAAGTAGGCTTCATCCCAGGGATGCAAGGCTGGTTCAACCTACACAGGTCTATCAATGTAATCCATCACATAAACAGAACCAAAGACAAAAACCACATGATTATCTCAATAGATGCAGAGAAGGCCTTCGACAAAATTCAACAACGCTTTATGCTAAAAACCTTCAATAAACTACGTATCGATGGTACATATCACAAAATAAAAAAAGCTACTTACGACAAACCCACAGCCAATATCATACTGAATAGGCAAAAACTGGAAGCGTTCCCTTTGAAATCTGGCACAAGACAAGTATGTCCTCTCTCACCACTCCTATTCAATATAAAATTGTTAAATACATTATTAATGTGATATATCTAATTAATATTAAAATATTTTGTCTAACCATCAACTGTAATGTCAAAAAGAAACATCAATTTTGATAAATCAAACATATTGTCACATAAGTCCAATATTTTGTAATTACTTTGTTTAATTTATATTACCATAAAAAGAAATATGTTTTAGATGATTGGTTTGTCTAGTTACTCTTTTGAATTAATATGCTATAAAATTGTCGATCCCAATAGACTAATAATTTTAATATGTACAATCATGCATCACATATCCACATTTTTGTCAGTGATGCTCTACATATAAATCTTTGATCCTATAAGATTATAACAGAGCTGAAAAATTTCTATTGCCTGGTGACATTGTAGCTGTCATAATTTCATAGTGCCACACATTACTTCTGTGTTTGTGGTGATAATGATGTAAACAAACCTACTGTGCCACCAGTCTTATAAAAGCATAGCACATACAATTATGTGTAGTAATATTTAATAGTGACAATAACTATGTTACTGGTTTATGTATTTATCATATTTTACATTTTATTGTTATTTTGAATGTACTCCTACTTATAGACATTAACTATAAAACATACTCAGTCATATCCTTCAGGAGGTATTCCAGAAGTCACTGTTATCATAGGAGATGACTACTCTATTCTCGGTATCGCCTCTAGAGATGAAGATGTCAAAGACAGGGATATTGATAAACCTAACCCTGTGTAGGCCTAAGATAATGCATGTGTTTTTGCCTTACTTTTTTTTTTTTTTTTTTTTTTTTGAGGCAGTATTTCACTCTGCCACCCAGGCTGGAGTGCAGTGGGGCTATCTGCGCTCACTGCAACCTCCGCCTCCCAGATTCAAGCAATTCTCCTGCCTTAGCCTCCCAAGTACCTGGGATTACAGCCACGTGCCACCACACCTGCCTTATTTTTGCATTTTTAGTAGATATGGAGTTTCACCATGTTGGCCAGGCTGGTCTCAAACTCCTGACCTCATGATCTACCCACCTTGACCTCCTAAAGTGCTGGGATTACAGGTGTAAGCCACTGCGCCCAGCCTCTGTCTTACATTTTAACAAAAATTCTAAAATATAAAATAAGTTAATTAATTAATTAAAGAAAAACGAAGTCTATACATATGAGTATAAAGAAAGAAAATACATTGGTACAGCACCATAATGTGTGCTTTAAGGTGTTATCACAAAGAAATAAAATAGCTAAAAAATAAAAATATGTAGAGTAAAAAATTTGTAGCAAGATTAATGTATTACTGAAAAAATAATTTTGTAATCAAGTGTAGTTTAAGGATACAATTTTTTTTAACTTTTATTTTAGGTGTAGGGAATATGTGCAAGATTGTTATATAGATAAAGTATGTGTCATGGGGGTTTGGTGTGCAGATATTTTAGTTACCCATATAATAAGCATAGTATCTGATAGGTACTTTTTAAAATCTTTCTCCTCCCATTCTCCACTCTCAAGTAGACTCCAGTGTCTGTTGTTCTTCTCTTTGTATCTAGTAGAGACAGTGTTTCACCATGTTGGGCAGGCTGTTTTCCGGTGTTTACCTTCTATTTATAAGTAAGAAAATATGAAATTTGGTTTTTCATTTTTGCCTTAGTTTACTTAGGAGAATGGTCTATAGCTCCATCCATGTTGCAAAGGACATGCTCTCATTCTTTTTAATAACTGCATAGTAGTTCATGGAATATATGTACCACATTTTTTTAATATTCAGTCCACCATTCATGAGCATTTAGGTTGATCCTATTTCTTTGCTGGTATGAACAGTGCTGCAATAAAATACACATGCAGATGTCTTTATGGTAGATATAACTATATTTCTTTGGGTATATATCCAATACTTGCATTGCTGTGTCAAATGGTAATTTTAAGTTCTTTGAGAAATCACCACACTGCTTTCCACAATGGCTGAACTAATTTATACTCCCACCAGTAGTGTAAAAGCATTCCCTTTCCTCTGCAGCCACTCTAGCATCTATGTGTTTTGACTTTTTAATAAAGGCCATTCTAACTGACATGAGATGGTATCTCATTGTGGTTTTGATTTGCATTTCTCTGATTATTGGTGATATTGAGCATTTTTTTCATATACTTGCTGGCCACATGCATGTCCTTTTTTGAAAAGTGTCTGTTCATGTCCTTTGCCCAGTTTTTAATGGGGTTGCTTTTGCCTGTAAATTTAGGTCCCATATAGGGTCTGGATTTTAATTATCCAGATTTGTCAGATGTATACCTTGCAAATATTTTCTCCCATTCTCTGGGTTGTCTGTTTACTCTGCTAATGTTTTCTTTTTTCTTTTTTCCTTTTCTGTGCAGAAACTTTAGTTTAATTAGGTCCCAGTGGTCAATTTTTGTTTTTGTTTTATTTTTCCTTGGTGTCATCATGAAATTTTTGCAAGGTCCTATGTCCAGAATGCTATTTCCTAGTTTTCTTTCATGGTTCTTACAGTTCCATATTTTATATTTAAGTCTTTAATCTAATCTTTGGTTTTTTGTATATGGTATAACAAAGGGGTCCAGTTTCAATCTTCTGTATATGGCTAGCCAGTTATCTTAGCACCATTTCTTGAATAGAGAGTCCTTTCCCCATTGCTTTTGTTAGCTGTGTTGAAGATCTGATGGTTGTAGGTGTGTGGCATTATTTCTGGGCTCTTTATTCTGTTCCATTGCTCTATGTGTTTGTTTTTATACCAATACCATGCTGTTTTGGTTACTGTAGCCTTGTAGTACAGTTTAAAGTTGGGTAGTGTGATGCCTCCAACTTTGGTGTGTGTTTTTGTTTTTGTTTTGCTTAGAATTCTTTGTCTATTTGGTTTTTTTTTTTTTGATTCAATGTAATTTTTCAAATATTTTTCTAATTCTGCAAAGAAAGTATTTGGTAGTTTGATAAGAATAGCATTGAATCTGTAAATTGCTTTTGACAGTATGGTCATTTTAACACTATTGATTCTTCCTATGCATGAGCATGGAAAATTTAGTGTAGTTTATGTGTACAAAGTTTATAAAGTCTTCAGTAATATATAGTAATGTCCTTGGCCTTTAAATGCACTCACTACTCATTCAGGCATACCAAAGCAACTTTCATTTAAGCAAGCTATATTTATGGTAAGTACATATAAAGGTGAACCATTTTTAATTTTTATACCATATTTTACTGTACCTTTTCTATGACTAGATACACAATTACTCATCATTGTATTACAATTGCTTAGCGTATTCAGTACAGTGACAGGCTATACAGGTTTGTAGCCTAGGAACAATAGGCTATACCACATTCCCTAGGTATAAAGTAGGTGATGCTATCTAGGTTTGTGTAAGTACACTCTATGATATTTGCATAATGATGAAATCTCCTAAGGACATATTTCTCAGAACATATCCCAGTTGTTAAGCAACACGTGACTACATTTGCACTAATGTTGACTTGTCTCTTGAAACCAAAGAAAATAATTAATTGAACACAGTCTGTCTATGAGAAAGCCTATGAAATCTTTATATTCAGGACTAAAGATATGTCAATCTTATTATGTAAAAAAGAAATCTTACATATAGTTTCCATAAGAATCTTTCTTACTTTCTTCAAAAAAACAAAATTTATGGAGGATAGATATTAGAGCCACATACTATTTTAAGTTTTTTGTTATTGTTGTTGAGTTTGAAAAGTAAAATATAGCCCTGGGAATATTATGACAAACTTTCCATGCAATCTGAAGCCTAATCTTTGCTTTTGCAAAATACTCACACAAGATCTTTGAATCATTTTAGATTTAAAATTTCTCTAAGAATATACTTGTAATAATTAAAACATTTCAAATAATTTTTAACAAAATATATTTTTCTTATTTATAAATATAAAAATACAAATTATCTGTCTCTCTCTCTCTCTCTCTCTCTCTCTCTCTCTCTCTCTCTCTCTCTCTCTCTCTCTCTCATAGAACAGTTAAGATGCAAATTAGTCTAATAAATAAGTCTCTGACCTTGAATTCTTCCTTGTGCTTGGACAAGAGATAGGACCTTCCTAGATTTTTTCAATGCACAGCTTGCTTCACATCAGTATAGGTTCTGTCATTCTTGACAGGTCTCTTCTCCCTGTAGTGGGTGAGAGATAATTAGCTGTAGTTAGAAAACAACTAAAATTTTCCAAGGTGAAAATTATCCTAATTGCAACCCCCCTCCCCCAAGGAAAGTGATATGATTCTTCTTGACACCATAAGAGAACACTGAACATACTTTTGTTAATTTATTCATTTCAAGTTAAAAATTATTTCTACCTCTTAAGCAAATGTGACCACTTTATGTACAGAGATCATATCACTGTAATACAACAGAACCCAACTCAGTGTTTAATATTTTGAAATATGTTGCATGTGGGGTCGATATTCAAGTTAAATTTCCATACATTGATAGACTCCCTCTTTTACTCTCATCTCTTTCTCTATTCCCATGAATAAGAAAGTTGAAGTAAAGTAATCGAAGATTAGCTTTCCATTGTCCAGAGATATTTCTGATGTCAATGGGTATATGCTTGTCTTAAAATACTATAATCAAGAGATAATAATTTTCATCATTGAAAGATCCACTCTTGAAGGTTTAATTAGAGCCATCAGTGTACAGTATTGTATTATGACTACAGGTATTTGCTTTATCATATAACAACAAAACAATTTTCAGAAATCTGAAGTCTTTATTTCCAACATCATTGTATATGAGCATGAAACATTATCAATCAACTTTAAAGGTTTTGGACACTTCCTACTTCCATATTAATAAGATTTGTTGCAATCAGTGTTCATTCACTGCAATTATACTCATCTTCCATGGGCAGCACTGCACCTCACCTCACCCTGACTACTATCTCTACTGCCATTTTATTATATTTTATTTTTTAAATTCACCTTGATTTAGAATCTCATCTCGTAACGATTTCTCTTATATAACAAAGAAAATTTGGGTAACTTGACACTATCTTTATTAACATCCTGTAACTGGGTCACAGGACGCAGAGGAGAGCAGAGAGGCCTCCCAAAGACGTTCCCAATTCCCTGATGGGGAGGAGGATGCACTCAGCTCCCTTCCCGTCCGATTATTTCCCCAATGTGTCCAAGGTTCTTGGCCTCCCTTGCTGCAGGAATGGGAAAGAGGTGGTGATATTACCTTTCAAGTAAATATTGGACCCAAAGAGTTTTGCAGAAAGCGATTTATTAGGCAAAGAGAAAGAGAGAGGAAGAGAGGAGAGAGAGAGAGAGAGAGCTCCCTCACTGCCATGGGAGGGGAATCCAGAGGGGATATCTGCAAAGGTAGAAAGGGAAAGACAGCTCCCACACTGTTGTGGGAGGGGATCCCAGAGAGAGAAAATCCACACAGGTAAGGCACAGTGCAGTTTTAACTTTGAAGTTATTCCTGCCCCATTCATGTTCTTGTCCAATGAGGAGTTCTTTTAAACATCCTCTGGAGTGACTGATCTTTGACTCTGATTCCACATTGGTTGCTTGGGCCCATAACAGGACCCCTCCTTCTAGGGCTTTTGGTGGGGCTTTCTGAACAAAGGAAGCTCACCCGGAATTTTACCTAGCCAGAGCAGAGAAAAGTTAGACAAAGAACTCTAGGTTCCCGGATGGGGAGGTGGATGGGGCCATGGTGCTGGGAAGTGCTTGCCTTTGAAATCATGCCCCATGTGGACCCGGGAAGAGAAGTTAACATAGTCCCTCAATCCCTTTCTATTTATTGACTTAACAATGTTCAATATATTTTTAACTTTTTCTTTTATGCCTCAGAGTATAAATTGTCCTTAACTGTAAAACTCAAAAGTTTTTCTTGACCTCATTGCTGTTTTTTTTTTGAAACTTCTTTATGTATATGTATACTATCACCCTCATTTGAAGCATCAGAATTTTGAACCCTAAAAACTTCTACACTCAGCTTATACAGACATGCTTGTTTCAAATCCCAGAGGTATATATCTATTTCTCTGTAGCTACTAACCACATTTTTCTTCCCCATTATAACTAACCTTCTTATAAAGGAGCTTAGCATTTAGGTTTCTGATTTTGAAATTTCATCGTCACCTCCTAAATTTCTTTACTTTATTCTGTATCATCATTCTATTGAATTTGTTTTATCTAATATTAATCAAGACATATTTATCAAATCCAATGCAAAATTGATTTTCCTGTATTAAAAGAACATCTGTGCTGTCTTTAATAATCGGCTTCTTTGATACTCTTGAAAATATATTTTCCCTATTTCGAGGGGCAGCATTATTTACTTTTCATGGATTTCCTGGTAGATTTCTAATCATTTCATTTTTAATTTACATAGGTTTTTTTTAATGCCATCATCTTGAACACTACCATCACCCAAGGTTTCCCCAAGACTGTTAGTCCCTGATTACATTTCTTTCACCAATGCACACTTTCATCAGGTAATCTCATTTACTTTTACAGCCACTCCGTATATGTCAATAGTTTCCAGATCTTATTTTGAAACCTCATATATAACATGAACTTTATCATTATCTATTTTGTGCACTTTCCCTTAATATTGAGTCATTATATGACAGATAGAATAATACATAAACATTAAATACATTCTGTATCTCTCAAAGGGAAAACAACACAGAAATGAAATCCTTTTCAAATTCAAATTAAACTTCAAATGACAACATTGTAAGGGGAAAAAATGGTTGGTCCTATCTACATTTCTAATATATATGCAAAAGAGGTATATCTACCAGAAATAATGTTAATTATTTGTTATTTCTAAGAAAAGGAAAATGTTACATCACAAAAAATGCTTAAGCCACTCATTTGTTATAAAATTAACATTTCTCCTTGTACCTATGAGTTTTCCTCTCACAAATTTTCACATGTAATGATCAGATGCCATGCTAAGCTCTGTGAAGGCAGATTTCTTGCTTTCTTCAGATAACCCTTATACTTTGTAATGATATTCATTAACTGCCTCCTTCTGCTCCTTTAGCATTCTTTTGTCTGGAATTGATGATACATCAAATAAAACAAGTTTCTGCATTTAAAAGCATTTCAAATTTGGGGTCACATTTTAATGTTTTAATAGTCTATCTTGTATTCTGTTATGCCTCCTCCTATTTATCACATTTCATGTCTGAAAATAACACTAAACAATCTCTGATATGCAGATCAAACATCATGACTTCCAAAATGCTTATTTCTAACATATTTTGGTGAACTTTGTGAATATTTTGTAATTGTTTGTAGCAGTTTCTTCTATTCACCAAGGATATTCTTCATGGGATGAAGCCTAGGTTAATTTTGTATCCATTGCATTTAGAACAGTGCCTTGAAATTAAAATCTCATGCCTACACTTTGAGAAGCTGAGGCGGGTGGATCACGACATCAAGAGATTGAGACTATCCTGGCCAACATGGTGAAACCCTCTCTCTACTAAAAATACAAAAATTAGCTGGGCATGCTGCCACATGCCTGTAGTCCCAGCTACTTGGGAAGCTGAGGCAGGAGAATCACTTGAAACTGGGAAGCAGAGGTTGCAGTGATTTCAGATCATGCCACTGAGCTCCAGCCTGGTGACAGCTATTTATTCCATGCATCTAAAGTTCACAGGTCCAGGTTATATAACTGCAATTAGCAGCTGATCCTCTAGTTAGGTATTGGATAATCTCAACCAAACAAGCCAGAAATGCCACTCTGGTAACAAAACAGCTTGGAATATCCCTCTAACCTCTGTTACAATACACACTGACTAAGATAATAAGTTTTGGAAATAGTAAACAAAATAATGATTTCTTGTAGAGAGAGAGCAATTTTCAATAAGATGCACATAGCACAGGTGTTAAAAAACCTATGACACTTGTTAAAGTGGTAAATCAGACTTTACTTAGGACTATCATGATAGTTGACTGTCATGGGGTTTTGTGGTAAGGAAGAGAGATTGTACCAAACTCTGAACACAACACAGAAAAGTAGAAATGTGTATCCAGTGTAGGCTTAACTCAAAAATCAATGCATGTCATGGTATAAAATGATCTTGTAAAAGGAACATGATTACATCAATAGATGCAGACATATTTGATATCCATTGATGGTAATAACTGAGCAAATATGAAATAAGAATTAGTATGAATAATGTATAATCTATAGCTAACATAATATTTAATGGTGAAAGATAAAGTAGTTTTTTCCTAACAGGCAAAGATTTCTCTCACCACCCTCATTTATTGCCATACTGAAAGTTCTAGCACACGGAGTAAGTCAATAAATAGAAACCAAAGTATTCATATTGTAAAGAAATAGTAAAATGATGCCTATTCACAGAAAACATAATTGTCAATGTAGGAAATTTCAAGGCATCCATGTAAGCAATACCATAGAAGAAATAACTGAATTGAGCAATGTCACAAGACATAAGGTCAATATATACAATTTTGTAATCTTTCTGTTAACTAGCAATGAAGAATAAAAGCAAAAACATAATATGTCATCATTTCACGAGTTCTGTTCCATGAGAAAATAATCTTAAGTATATACAGAAAATATGTGCTAAACTTTTAAAATTACTGGTGAAATATATGAAAGAAATAGAAATAATTGTAAAGATATCATATTAACAAATTTGGAAGAGTCAAAATAATTAAGATGACAAATATACCAAACTGATTTATAGATTTAATGTAATATCAATCAAAGTCACAGTAGGGTTTTTCATAAAAATAGACAAGTTGATTCTCAAATTTATATGAATAAGCAATTGGAGTTATATTTTCCAAAATAATTTTATAAAAGAACAGATTTAGAGTACTTATAATGTTAGAGATTGTATTGTGTCCCATCCACTTTCTCTCCCGAATCACAAAATATTAAGAGTCCTAACTCCCAGCACATCAGAATATGATGTTATTTAAAGACAAAGTCTTTATAGAGTAGGTCAAGTTAAAATTAGTTGAGTCAAAGTCTGGGCCCTAAACCAATATGACCAGCATCCTCATAAAAAGAGAACATTTATACACAGACAGAAATGCATAGAGGGAAGATGATGTAAACAGATAACAGAAGATAGCCATCTGCAAGCCAAAAAGAGAGAAACCTGGAACAGA